AACTACAACCGTGCTCTGTTGTTGAACTCGGGAGCCTCGTAAGGCTGCGGACCCAGAAGGTCAGTCTGCTGCCCCGAGGCTTTCTGTGCCAACTCCAGACCCAGGGAAGGAAGGGGTGAGGTGACAGCGGGGGGGAAAAGAAATCTGAACATGGCTCTCCTCCTCCCTCTCATCCCAAATAAACTAAAAATGGAAAAATAAAAGCCCAGCGTGGTCTGCACATCAGAGTCTCCCGTTTAAGCCTGATTTGGTGGGACTGCACCTGATTGCCCTTCAGCCGGGAGGTTCTCCCTGGGCTGACCCTGGCAGGGCTTTACCCTCGGCTGAGGGTCTCTTCCCGGGCGTGAGAAGGCTGCCCGCTCTGGAGACGAAAGCACCAAAGTTAATGGTAACACCAGCTAGGGAAGCAGTATTCCTCACAAAACGGAAACCTTTTCTCTCTGTCCCCCAGGAAGTCGTGGAGTGGCTACAAGTGCTGGACCTTAATCAGGAAAAGAGTCTGTCGGCATCCTCGCTGGAGGTGATTAATTACACCTTGAGCATTAGCAGGTGGATGGGGATTTCAAAAAACAAGGTTTAATATCAGAGCACACGGTTCCAGTTCCAGGGTGAGGGACTGATCTCCTCTGGGCTGGTGTCTGCTGAGTCAATCAAGTTGCTCTGAATTCTCCCTGCTGTCTGTGAGATCACAATTTCTTGTAAATGTTTTTAGTAATCGGTCTGGCAAAATCCTAAGATTTCCTGTGTCCTTCTTCGATGCTCGGAATACTCAGTTCATGACCTATTTGTTAAAAGTAATGGAAATTGGCATTTCTCAGGAATGGAAGTTTTGTTTAGTGAGTAAAAAAACCATTAGGATTTGTATTTCGTTTATCTGCTATGACCTTTTCCTGTGATATAGTGTCATGGCTGAATTTCAGAAATGAAATTTCTGAAGGGAGAGTTTCATGTTTAGGTTTAAAATTATTTTGACGCCCTTTTGCAGTTGCTCACCTGTACTGCTTCTGCCACCGTAGCAAAAGCTGCAGTGGATCTTTCCTCTTCATTTATTTACGTTAGGCACACAGGTCCGTTTCTCACGATAGATTTTAACAACAGAGATGGAAAATTAGCAACACGCAAAGCCTTGGCAACCTGATGTGGTGGAGGGTGTTCCTGCCCATAGCAGGGGGATTGAAACTAGATGATCTTTGAGGTCCCTTCCAACCCAACCCATTCTGTGATTCTATAATGGCACAGTGTACCATTTTCCTTGATTTTTGAAACCTTTAATATTGGTGGATGTATTAAAAATCTTCCTTAATATAGGCAAATTATTTGAAATGGTTAATAGTACACTAAAAAAAGCTTGTGTGAAATCAACAGGAAAATTTCGGTGGGATGAGGATATCCCTCCCTATGTTTTAATCTCCTGGCTTTTGTGTAAGGTATATCTGTTTTGCAGTTTTTTGACCACGAGCCATGTAGCATTCCCGCGGGGGGAAGGCTGCCAGCGCGAGTCAGCTGAAGACCTGCTGCAGTGTGTGTACCTGGTATAAACGAAGTTACGGGATGAAAAACTGAGCATGGGAAGCCTGTGATTCTGTTGACCCTTTCAAAAACGCAATATATAGCATCCCTTAGGCATCACGGGAAGTAAATGGAGGAATGTGTTACAAATCTGGTATTTAGGTTCAGACCATCATTTGGCTGTGTTATGCTGGTTTAGATTGAAGACCCTGGGATTAATAGTGGACTATGGTAAAACCTTGGAGATTTTTTACTGACTTTTCAGGGATATCCTGAAAATGTATTGGAAAATAAATTAGATGTAAATAATCAAAATAAAAAATGCCAGACTTTTTAGCTGGATTGGGCTCGTGACACAAAAGAAGAATGTTTTTATCCTTAGCTGCTGTTTTCAATGCCTTTTTTCCCCAAAATACACTTGGAGTTGAAACTGAGCATATGCATTTTCTGTTACAAAGTAAACGGGTCTGGAGAAAATGTGTTTTGATGTTGATTTGCTTGATATTTTGAAATTACAAGAGCATATAAATGCTGGTTTTAACCAGCTGAAACTTTGTGTATTAGAATATTTCTGAGCGAGTTAAGTATGAAATGTCCCCCTGAGATAAGCTGCCGGAGAAACAAGCTTGTAGCGTCATCTGGCTTGAGAGCGGCACAGGACCGCGCACGTTGCAGTGTTTGTGGGGTACCCGTGTAAAAGACACTTCACAGAAGTGAACTTGTGAATTCAGTGGGAGGCATCTGACGTAACTGGGAGGAGACGTGTGGGAGGAGAGTGGGGCTGGCTCCTGTTCCTCCAGAGGAACCGAGACCCCTGGGGACTGCAACGCCTTCTCTCTTCAGGGGTCACAGCTACACAGCACCTCGCAGAGATGAAACACGTTGTGGGTGACCATGAGGGACATGAGTTCAGGTGCTTGAAGCTTCTTGTGGATCATGACTGATTTGGGAGCTTGGGTGCTGAACGCAAGTGCTGGCACCCTTGCTGGGCCAAGCAGCTACTCTTTACAATGCCCAAATTCCGAGCTTCAAATGTCAGCCCCAATGCTACGTGCATGAAGAATTTTAAGGCTCTGTGCGGGTGCAGGCTGTGGTTAGGCAAGACACTTCCTAACCAAACGGGCTAGGCCATGACTGTTCATGACAGAATATCCTGCACTTCTCTGAGGCATCTATTAATGGGTCGGAGGCTGACGAACCGCGTGTTTGATTTATTGGTGCACTCTCTGTGTTTTTATGAGTTGCTCCCTCGCACAGTTCCCCGGGTTGCTCTGCACACGTTGGTCAGAAAAAGCATGCAGACTTTATCAGCTTAACAGTCAAACGTTAGCAGTAATTACAGCACTTGGAGCGTAAAGTATTACAATAATTCATTTTAATAACATGTTTATTAGGTCATAACAACGACTATAAACGTAAGTACCATTCAACTCTTTTGCAGGTATATGAACTTACTAACATCAAATCTTGACCAGAATCACGTATTCTTACAGGTGTCCCAGACACAACATTAACTTTGTTAAGCAAAAGTTCATAAATAGTAGAAACGTTCTCTGTTTCACATTGCAGCGTTCCTCAAGCATGTATGTACAAGTCTGAAGTATCTTCTCCAAATCTATGTGTCATAAACTTCCTTAGCTGTTTTAACAACCACAGAGATGATTTTTTTTTTTTGCCTGCAGCAAAGCCTTTTGTCCTTGAGCAATCTGCAATTAGCATTGCTCTCAGCAGACATGAAAGTTCATTTCTGAAATGAAAGTGGTGATGAAACACAATACAACATTATCTGCTCATAGTTTGCCTACACACTCTGCCCTCACCATAAATCTTTCAGTTATAACACTGTCTCCCAAGAACAATATATCTCCCTTCTATCAGTTCTTTATCTGCACTGCCTCTCTTTGAAGACCTTAAAATGGCTGGCTTGCAGCAACGGAGATATCATACTTAGGGTGGAGTGTGTTTACAGTCAGTTCTTTTCCTTTTTAATATTTACACAGTATTTTTTTTAAGGTTGCTACAATTCATGAATCATGTAGTACGTTGACATACATTTTCTGAAATGTTCACAGTGCAGTATTTTGTGGCCTAACCAAACTTTGTAAATGTCATTAAAAATAAACTTTTTTTTTTAATATAAAAATAGAATACTTTATGTGTTTACACCAACAAACCCAGTTCTATCCTATACTAAACAAGCTATACAGTAGTATGCACAGAATTCCACAGGAACAGAAATGACATGTGATGCTTGCCCTAAAGCTATAGTACTCTTCCCTAATGAATGAAGGTTTCATTTACTATCTCTTTTCAAAATTATTTTTCTGGTCATAATTTAGAAATAAAAGTAGGTATTGTAATTCACTGGGTTGTGTGATCCAAGAAGAGGCGAGGGGGGCCTAAAGCTGTTCTCTTGATCTGTCTTCTCAGCCCTTTAGGGCTGGCACGAAGAAGGTACCAACATTCAAAAAGTCTTTTTAGGTCAGGTCTGGCTGCAACGCCTCTGCTCTTGCTCCTTACTCACCTTGGGCAGCAGCTCCACCCAAGGGTAGGTGGCAGAGCTTCAGCTCCTCGACGTGTGACTCACCAGACAGCAGCTCCGTAAGGTCGCCAGGCTGCCTGTCTCCTCTTCCTCTCTAGAAAAATGCAGCCCATATTACTGCATCCCAGGAATTAGCCTGGCATTTAATATGGATGCCTTCAGGTTTTTATGCTCAGAGAGTGGTTAATTCTTTATTGAAAGAAATGGAGGCTTTGCATTTTTCAGCAAGAGATCTGTCAAGATAGGCTGTTACTCAAAGAAGCAGCTGAATGTTGGAACAAAGTTGACGCTAGGAATGCTTTAACTAGATGATTTTCCCTTCATTTTATGTACCGTCTGACTACAGCAGAGGACTGGCAAGGCTGACACACTTATTTTACTGCACGCCGTTTTTCGACGTTGAATTCTGTTGAGACATTTACCATGAGGCCGGCTCTCCTGGGCTGTCTGTTTTCAGAAACCTTGTTGATATAGTGCAAAAAACCAAAGTTTGGACTGTGCGGGAGGAAAATACATTTTAAACTCTTGTAATTCTCATTGTTTGCCTTAGCCTTTTGTGCGAAAACCATTTCTGCACTGCTCGTTGTCCTAAAGTACACGCAACAGTAATAGTCCTTCCAGCCATACTGATTGGTGTTCTACTTCCTCCTTCATGGCATTAACGATGAATCTTTGTTCTTGGGTCTGAGCACGCATCGATGCGAGCCAGCGGGAACTAGCTCTGGGTGGCAGCACGCAACGTTTCCGTTCGGCAAATCGAGGCAGTTGTCAAATACTTGGAAATCACGGTGATGGTTTATAGAATCCCATAGCCTTAAACAAAACGATATCATGTCCTTGTACTAGTGCAACTCGGGCAACAACATAAACATGTGCAACAGTGTTCTTCTCACAAAGACCGGGCAGTAAAAACTAGCGGACAAAATGTTTTGCTTTTTGTTCATACAACTAAGAATGGATTTTCCTCTATTTCAGACATACCCGTCATGTGTCAACATCCATGTCTGTGTTGTCTTGTGATGATAAAAGAGAAGGATAGGGAGCAATGCACTTCACGTTGACATACGTAGCATTGACATGAACGTAGTGTTCCCCAATAAAAGTGGAGAAGATTGTTGATATTTTTGAAACAAGTTCGGAAAATGCTGGACGCATCTCTGGTTTTGGATGCCAGCACTTCAGCATGACTTCATACCTGCCATTCAGATAAAAGAAGTGTTCAATTATGAAATAATATAAAAATGAAAAAAAACACAACTCTTGCCTCCCACTTAACTATAATATCAGAATGAGCAGCATTTGCAGGAAGGCTTTGCAAACTGTTTACTTACAGTGGGTCGGGGCAGTATTCAGGTTGTAGCAGCCTTCTTCCTTGTAATAAGTAAACAGTTATATCGAAAGAATTTACATCAGGATAAGGTGGTGCCCCTCTTGTCATAAGTTCCCATAACAACACCCCAAAGGACCACTAAGAAAACAAAAGAAATACATAATAAGTGATAGGGTTGGAGGGCTTTACATTCCAGTATTAGAAGATGGTTTGACAGATTTAAGCACTCAAATGCATGGACTTTCCCTTTGAAAAGTTATTTTACTGCATTCTGCTTTCTTTTAAGTGGGCTAATAAATGCTGTAGGGACTTGAGGAGCCACTTACTTAAATTAGAGCCAGAGACACTCAGCTAAGTAAGTGAAAGAAAATAAAAGCCTATAGGCCAGCTACTTAGCTGGTATAAATTGGCAGACCTCTTTTGAGGTTAATGGAGCTCTGCCAATTTGCATGAGCTGATGATCTGACTAACCCTGTGTAAATACATACTGAAGAGAACATACGTGGTGAAAATTCTGTGCATCACAGGCTAATTTGAGTCTGCATTGAAAGCAGAGCTAAAATACAAAGTGATCCAGCCAACTAATGACTTCATCTTGTATTTTTTTCTTCATAAATGGCCAGCTAATACTTGAGATTGCTGTAGGCTGTCAGTGAGTATTTATAAAGCAAATAAAGTCTTTTTGAGAACTATTAAATTTTATGAGTGTCAAAGTTAACCTGTTTTGTCAAGCTTTCCAGAGCCCCTCCTATAGCAGGGTTCAGCTCCAACTCGGCTTCTTGGAACGTCCTTAGTTTCCCTTAGAGTGGGATTAAACTTCTAATTCTTTCCTGAGCATAACAGATAATCGGGTCAACATCTTGTTTTGTGATTGGAACAAATACCCTTTCTGGATGTAGAAACGGTCTCTTATTCTTATGCGAACTAAAACCAGATTCGAATGTAAGTTTGGGTTTGGTGTTAGTCCATTTGTTAAATACTAGTGAGACGCCTCAGGCAATATAAAAGAAATTAATAGGTGATATGAATGTGTTTGTACGTTACCACGTCCGACTTTGTTGTGAACTTCTGAGTTTGTAAACTTTCTAAAGCCATCCATTTCACTGGCAGTTTAGCTCCTGTTTTATTGTGCACGCTGTAGTATTCTTTATCATAGACATCTCTAGCAAGACCAAAATCAGCAACCTTGACAGTGAATTTTTCATCCAACCTAGAGAAATGATAGAAAGTATTATCTGCAACTGAGCAGGCGAGTCTCACAGTGATGGTGGATTATAATGAGTGACTTGCAGTTTTGAGACCGTGACTTTGGAAGGCAGCGCTTTATCTTGGATCTATGAACTAATGTAACAGTGAAACAAAAGGCGCAGCAAAGTATACTTGACACCCATTTAACACAGTGAACGAACTCAGGAAATTACTGATATTGTTTGGATAATAGAATTTGAATTACAGTTCTTTTAAAACAATTGCTCTGTATAAAAAGATTTTTGCTAATAGACTATACATCCTGATTGAGTGCTACATCATTTCTTCCACAGCTGTTTCTTCTTCCATATCCTTAGAAACCTCTCATTTTTTATTTCCAAGCCAAGGCATCACCTTTCCTGCTTACTCTCAATTTTGACAAGGATGGACCCATCGTTATCTCAATACCCGCCCACATATAACAATGTAGCCCTGTAACTAAGGATGTGTTTGGTGCCTGTACTGGGAAAGGATGGTGGCATAAGGAAAGTGCTGCTGGGGTTACAGCTCAGCCATACCAGAAGATCTCCCTGGCTTTGTTCCTCCTAAGCTTGGTGTTTGTCCTGATAAGCAATATCATTGTCAGAAAACAGACAGAGCACGTGTGTTGGCACGCGTAAGCCTGTCTTTCATTAGACGTGCAGATCTGGCCACAGCAAACACCTGCTTCTGGGCTTCTTTACAGAATCACACAGTCACAAGAATGGGTGAGGTTGGAAGGGAACTCTGCAGATCACCTTAGTTCACCACCACCTCCTCCACTCAAAGCACGGCCAGCTACTGCAGGTTGGCCAGGACCATGACCAGCTGGGTTTTGAATATCTGTAAGGATGGAGACTCTGCAACCTCTCAGGGCAACCCTTTGCCAGTGTTCAGCCATCCTTACGATAAAAGTGTTTTCTTCCTACGTTTAAACGCAATTTTCTCTGTTTCAGTTTGTGCCTGCTGCCTCTTAGCCTGTCCCTGGCCACCACTAAGAACAATCTGGCTTCATCTTCTTTACTCCGCCATATCAGGAATTTATACATGTAGATAAGATCCCCCTGAGCCTTCTTCAGGCTAAACAATCCCGTCACTCTCAGCAGGGCATTTCCGTCTTGAGTTTATGAGGTTTCTATCTCGACAACTCTCTGGTCTGTTGAAGTCCCACTGAATGGCACACAACCATCTGCTGTATTTACTGATGTAATAACTAAACCAATACCAACGAAGGGAGTAGGAGGGAACTGTGATGGGTCAACAGGGGACAGTTTATGCCATAGCAGCTTCCCGCACCTCTTCCAGGATAGTGGAATAGAATTGAGAATCCACAGGGACTGTATTTGCATCCTGGCTTCCTTGCTGTTGGACATCGCTATTGTGGGAGGGGCTGTGCTTCTGAGTGCTGGATTGCACGCGGCCACTGGGGAATGTGGGTCTTCAAAACCTGCCTCTTCCTCTCACATGGCAGCAGCTCCCCAGGCTTTGAAGGGCTGAGCCATATAGAAGTACAAAAGCAGCCCTTCAGTTGGCAACCTGTCATTCCAGTAGCTGTTCCCTCCTCACCCAAGGAAGAGACAGTAGGCCAGAGGGAATGTCCTGTTGCCACTATTTGGACTCTGATTAGATGAACCAGGACTTCTATCCAGTCACCCAATTCCTTTCTTCTTAGGAAGCCTGAAAATCATGTTGCTCGTGGCTTTTTCCTCCCTTAAAAATCAGCAGCTATAAGAAAATGTTATTTTTCAGAGGGTGTTCAGCTGTACAAGTGTGCTCCCTTTGAAAAAGATAAGAAATCTGATGTCGCAGGTGAATAACCTTTTTGCGGCCAGAGTTCCAGATTATGATGTGCTAAAAATAACCGCTAATGTTTAATCCTGTACCTCATTAATTCACAAGGTATGTGATCAATCAGCATAACAGTATCAACAACTCCTGTATCAGTTAGTCTTTGTGTGAACTGAACTGTCTGGTTACCCAGACACTGGTAAGAGTCTTCGCATGCTCTGATTTTTTAATGTTAATTTGTGTGTGAATTGAGCCAAAGCTCATACTCATGTAATGAAATATTACTGTCAATAAATCTCACTGGTGTTTCTTTGTGTTCCTGTTTTTCCCACAAAGTTCCCCTGTGTTCCTCTCCCTCCTGCTAGGTGTGGCAGCAGAGATGTGCTGCTTCTGAAGAGGCTGGGTGGAAGCACAGCAAGTTGAGACAACAGCAGTTTAACTTCCCTTAGGAGATGCCTTTTAAACGCCCTAACCAATGATTTTGAGAGACGACACTTTCACCTCAGCTTTTCTTATTTCCCACACTCAAAAAAAAGCTTATGTGTAAGCAGCGAGCCCTTAGCAAGCTGAGTAGTTCATCAGTATGCAAGACAAACATCCGTATAATTATGGAACAATGCAAAAACCACCCTATTTTGACTAAAAAAGGAGAATCCTGGAAACTTTCATTTACCTTACCTCACTGACTTACACAAAAGAGTGTGATAGCGTGGCTGGAATTAGATGTTTGTACTTACATACAGTTTCTTGCTGCCAAGTCTCTATGGACAAACTTTTTGCTTGCAAGGTATTTCATCCCTTTTGCGACCTGAAGGCCAAATCCAATTAAATCTTTTACTGTTGGGTTCTGTAAAATACAAACATTTGTGATACAATGAATGCAGAAGTCCAAGGAGCAGACTGTTTTTTTGCTGTGACTATCAGTTTTTGACATACCTATCTTGCCACCAGAATGATCAAGACAGGCTGGTGCTTGTAGTGAAACTGGTGTAAGCGTAGGTCAAGTTCTTACCTCCAGTGAGGAGATACTCTTTAAGAAATCAGAAAAACTGACAGACTCCGGAAGAGTGGAATTTGCAGCATAAGCAGCATGACATGGGCTGGGAAGTGGAACACTATGCTGAAACCTCAGCGTCACAGCTGATACACAAAATTCACATTTGTGAACTGAGAGCAATAGCATGTAACTCCGTAAAACGTGCTAACCATGAACTTGGAGCTTATCAGCTGGGAATTACCAAGAAAGGAGAGAGTCCTGTTTGGGGCAAACTAAGTGCAAGCTATCATCAATATGATGCCATGGAAAAGGCAAATGAGACCTCAGCAGTTACCAGAGGAAGATTTTCTGCAAAAATTGGTAACTTTTTCTGCTGGTCTACAAGGTGAGACCGTACTGAAAATGTTAAATATAGAAATAAATATAAACATAAACATGTAATTCTTTTATCCAACATCATGATTTGTTATGTAATAGTATGGTCCGACAGATTTTGGGTTGTTCCCACTGCTCCATATAATTCTTTTCTCTGTGGAACAATCCTGTTCAACTGTGGTGTTATTCTATTTATTTCAGGAAGGACTATGGTACTATTCACAGACAAGGTCCCTGGTGCTTCTAGAATGAAAGAAGTTCAAAAGGGAAGAGGTCCCTACCTCAGAAAGCTTAACTTCCCCAACAATTTTTCAAGATGCATTTTTTTTTTACTTATTTTACTGGCTATTGTTGATTGCCAAAGAGGCAGGGTTGAAACCCTGTTGGCTCGGAAGTCATTTTATATTGTCCTAGTGCTGTGAAATGGGTGAAATGCTACAGTATAAAGTGGGCTTACACTACCTGAGGCAAGACCTGTGGTCTCATACTTGAGAGAAAGCAGGGAGGCACATTCGAGAAATCTGCAGTCTTTCGATGAAAATAGGGAAAAATCTCTGATAAGAGAGTACTCATAGCTTGTATAAAAATTGCTCTTTTCCTCTCTTAAGATAAGAAGAAAAAATATTGATAATAACAGGACTGTGACATTCTCTAGCTGGACATGAAGATCCCTTACCTAGAAGCTGGAAGAGCAGATGGTGACGACTGGCACAGCTGTGCTGAAGTCAACAGAGATATGCCAGTTTAAACCAGCAGATGGTCGGGCCCCTCGACTTAGATTTCATAAACACATTTGTTTATAAAAGAGGCTTATGGATGGGAAATGAGAAATACTTATTGTTGATAATTTCTGGGAAACATTCTAGAGAAGAATTTGAGGGGGAAGGGAAGGAGTGGCAGCACTGTGGTCGGGCTCAGTGCCAGCCTAACCAAGTACTAAAGGTTAAGGTGTAGTAACAGCAGCAAGTTCCAGACGTAATGTAATTATCAGAGCTTACAACCTGTGGTGTTGGAGCAGGGCGTTGCTAGACCTGCAAAACCATGTTGTAGACCTCACCGTGTACTTACATGAGTCTCATTTCTAATGAAGTTTCGAAGATCTCCGTGTTTCATGTATGGAAGAACAACTAAGGGGGAGCCTTCATTGGGCAAACAGATTCCCAGGAGCGACAGAACATTGGGATGAGTGAAATCTTTCATGATTATTCCTTCTTTCAGAAACTGAGCTACTTCTTCCAGGTCTGTAATCCCTAAGAAATCCAGTAACAAAATGAAATAATTAAAAAAAACCCAAACAAACTACAGTACATTTCTGTATAGCATGTAATTGCACAACAAAGTGGTCATGAGAAGCTACAATCATGATGCCCACCTCCCACATGACAACTGGGTTACGTGCATCAGTTTTCTTACAATGACTAATTGCAGTTTTTTGGTGACTTTAATTCCGTTTCTCATTTTCTTAGTATGAATTATTTAGAATTGAATAACAACGCTTGAGTAAAGCTTTTAATAAATGTTGTTACAGTTTCTTCCTGTTTTTTTCAGCAGTTTTGCCTGCTCTTTAGCAATTTAACTTCCAAAACCAAATCTTCAGTAGTCAGTAGAACAGAAAAATGACACTGCCTTTCCCTCATTGTCCTCTGTCCTTTTTGTAGAGGAAGTACATGGGCATTTCATCTGATGCACAAATATATACCAATGCCTCGTGGTAATCTAATGTCATTGGAATTGCTCCAATTCCAAAGAATCTTTGTGAAAGTACACTTCGCTGTAATTAACTAGTTCACCCCAGTTATCTTTGGAATTATGGTAATGTCTCACTATTAAACATGGAACTCACTATTCAGTGACTTCACAGCACAATGAATTTTCCTGCCATCGTTATCCAGCAATGTCCCATGGTACACGCACCCAAAATGTCCTGTATAAAAAATGAGCAAGATTAGCTTTAATAAGTAAAATTAGCTTTCTGGTATTTCCCACTTGGTCGCAATTATGATTTAAGAAAGTGATCACACTGCATTTCTGTCCAAGTCCAACACTTGCAATGTATTCTTCATAACTATCACATAAAACGATCGTTATATAAAACCATTGTTACATAAAATGAAAACTCTATTTGAAGCATAATTGGCATTTCTTGACTTAGATGGACAGTCTAAATAATGACAAGGCTGGTGCCACAACTGCTTTATATTCTTGTAATGACTATGTACAGAAAAACCATGTCAGCCCATTGCCACCATGCTCTCCTGTTAGATATATGTCAAGGAAGGGCACTGGGAAGCAATTAGAAGGAGCTGACATGACCACTGGATCGGTGGTTCCCAGTGGTCTGCAAACCGATGCTAAGTGGTCCAGAAGATTGTACAGCCTTGATGCATCTTCAGTGGAAAGCTGTATAAGGAGAGTCACTGTGTGCTTACAGTCTCTTAGATTTTGCTATTCCATGGAAAATGCTGAGTGTTAAAAGTGGCATATTGGCCATGAAAGTTTTGGGAGTCGCTCTGCTGATCACAGAGTGATCACCTCATTAGGTGGCAGTCTATGGTCTCTGCTGTAGCCTAGTTCCTAGTGCAAAATATCACTAAAAGATGAGTGAAATTTGCCTTCTTGCCAATGGTCTAACCAGTGAAATAAATGGCCAGTGACACAGAAATCCTTCCTGTCCTTTCCTGTCAAGTAAATGGGATAGCCTGTGGAGTGGGGAAATCTACTACGAGAGGTCAGGTTGACCTGTTTGGGACACTGAGAACTTTGAGCTCCAGGCACATGCATTAATTTATCCAAATCAAATTATGTGCATATAATGGTGACTTTCCTTCATAGATGTACTGTTTACTGTTTAAAATATTAATATTTGCAGTTAGAAAGCAAATAGTTTTTTTGTCAAGTGCGAGTTCTGCAGAGAGAACAAGACTATCTGATTAATTCTACCAGGTTCCAGTCATAAGTGCTGGTGAGAGTCCAGTTGGCTTTGATTTTGGCTTGGGGTAAAATTAATATGAAGTTTGTTTTATAAAAGCAACTAAAATCCCATCAGACCACAGATTGTTTGGAGCCTGGGCACAAATCCTAAAGCTTGGATCGGGTGTGTCTGAAATATTTTGGTTTTGGCCCATTTCTAGTTACGGAGGAGAATATTAAAAAAGGTTAATTATATCAGTGTCATTCCTGATACTTTTCAACATTTAAAAAATAGGAAATTACTTGGCGTTTTCTGAAATAAGAAAGAAAAGAAAAAGGCCCACCCTTGCTTTGGGGATGATGAAGTGTGATACACGGAAGGGAAACACATTGACTGTTTGATTTGCGGCTATATTCCTGCAGAAGCATTAGGAGGATCATTTATAGCCAAATTTTTATCAGTATTTTCATGCTCAACAAGAGACCTCTCATGCATGATCTGCAGAAGTACTGAAAATCCAGTTTCTGCTTGGTACTTCTTAGTACAGAGCTTAATAAATGCCCCTAACAGAAATACTGGCTTGGGCTATGAAAGGAGGAGGGAATCTGCTTACAGGGATGTAGAGGAAAAGGGGTGATGGGAGAAAGCCAGAAAAATAGGGGACTTGCCATATCAGGGACAAAAATAAGGGGAAGTGAATCAGGAGCTACACATTACTGCAGCTGGGAGGAGAGAGGAATGAGGGAGAACAGAGAGCCTTTGGAGGGAGGAAACAAACAGGGAGTTCCTCAGAGCTGGGGAAAACTTGTGGAGGAAAAAAGGATGTGTGCATTTCACCTGGCCCTTGGGGACTTTTACTGAATGTAGTAGTGACTGCAGGAGTTTTCAGTGTCATGTAGCAATCCTGACAGCTCTCGGGCTCTGAGTTTAAGATTGCTGGTGCCCCTGCCTCGGCGTTCCCCGTCATTTGGGTGTGTGCCTGAGGCTCGCGGCAACATTCTGTGGCAGCCTCATTCTTGCTCCACAGCCTTGTGGATCAGAGGCCCTCCTGAGCCTTTCCATGGCCCAGAGAAGGGTGAGAGTGAGGCAGCTGAGGGGGAACCAGCAAGTCTCTGAGTTCAAAGGAGCCCCATTAATTGGGAGACTCCTTCCCTGCTCTGCTATCTTCTCCAACTGATCAAATGCACAACCCTTTGTCTGACTTCAAAGGAGAGCCCCTTGGTTCTCCCCTTGATTTGGTGCATGGGATGCAGTGCTGTACGAGACAAAAAACTTAAAAAACCTCTGTGTAGGCATCTTATTCAGAGTGGTTTACAATGGAAGGTAAGAGTTGTGGTACCTACCTCTTCCTATTACTTCGCTGAAGTGCACAATCAGGCTGTCAGCACCAATAACCACATGCTGCACTTCTTTGACCAGGTCAGGATTTAAGGCACTGATGTCAATGTGGACATTAGTTTGGAGAAGTGGACTCGCTAAATCTGAGTCTCCACTAGACAGAATCGGGGAGAGGTCGGAGTGAGGATATTGGGCAGGTCTGCATGATCCATTCTGAGACATGCTTGGAAACTGATCTGCAAAATGAACAGAAACTGTTATAATCCTTTCAGACTTCTCCTTGGAAAAAGAAGAGCTTTATTTCATTGGTGAGCGCGGTTTGAGTTTATCAGTTTGGCAGTGGCTTGGCTTTGCAGAAGTTTCGGTCACAAAGGGAAAATGAAAATATGCATCGCTAATCTGCCAAACTCCAGGAAAGCCGTGTCACTAGAAACTTGTGCTTGTCTCAGCTCTCCTTTTATGAAAGTAAACGGCAAAACTTCCACTTTTCTGAGGGGATGGAATGAACCCTCATCACTTCTTGCCAAGCGTAGCTTATAACATTTCTAGTAATTGGGAGTAACAAGAGTAAATAGAAAAATGACAGCAATATGGGAGGAGGAAGAAGTGAACAATTAAAAACATGAAACCTGTTATTATTGTCATGTTCTAATTTGGTAGGGAACTTTACATTTCATGAAGGTTTCCAAACTGCTGGTGACTAGCTATATTTATCCAATGGTAAATATTCAACCAGGGAAATGCCTAGAGGTGATTCATATCCTGTAACTGCTGAAGATAATACAGTTGGTGCTACTCAAGAAAATAACATGAGCCAGCTAATTTAAAATAGCAGAAATTAAAATGTTTCAGTCAAGCCAGGAGTATTTATTTGAGAAAATTATTTTTGTCAACAGCATGTTCTTCAGGTATTCTAAATTACTGTTGTTTAAAATATTTTTTCCTAGTATTTTGTGTAATAGAGTCAAGGAATTAAATTTAATTTACATCAGTTTCAGTTTGGAATGATTCCAGTGGAGTGAATGAGCAGAACTTAGCTCAAGGTTAAAAAAAAAAGAAAAAAAAAAGGGAGGAATAAATTTAACAACAGAAATTTTCAAATATTTTATCACAAAGAATGAATGCTTTATATATTTACGTATAAAACCTGGGAAGTTTTCATAGAGTGCTGTAATCACTCTAGGTACTGAGAAAAACTCGGTGTTGCTCTGTCTAGAAGCAAAACCACTAACTCTCCCATTGACAAAGCCATGTTTATGTTACCAAGGGCAAACATCTATTTAATAATCATGGTAAAATACTCTGGCCATGGTTGCAAAATAATTTTTACAGCTGCTACACGTAAACCTGCATGTTTCCTACTGCTCCTGTCATTTTATTCTTTGATGGTAATCAAACATTCCTACAGAAACATTAAGTGAACGCACCTCCTTCTTCGGTGCGCTCTCCGCTGTGCTTTGCCAGTGCACAGTGGCCCCAGGACCACTGAAGATTTACCTTCCACCAAGGGTCTTTGCATAGTTTTCTCTCGTGTACCACTTTCCCTTCTAACCAGTAACATAGACTTTCCTTTTCCTTTGGGAATCTTTCAATCAAGAAACTTCCTGTGCGAGCTGGCGGCAGCAATTAAAGAACCATAAAGGAAGCTGGGAATAGGCTTGGCTCTCAAACAGCTCTAAGACTGGGAATTACAAAGGTGGAATAAGGATTTGGAGTGATTTGTACTGAGTTGCATTCAGCAGCACCCGAAACAGTTCAAGACTATGCCTATACCAAGACTAACCAATATCTGTGATATCTCAAATATCACAATATGGTAACTCCTGATAGCTAAAGACTCTTTAATTTTACCAACAGAACACGGGCTCCACATGCCTTAAAGGACATGTTCAGCCTAAAGTGGCACGGTAAGTGCAGCAGGGAATTACCCACTCTAAAATGGTGTTACGAGGCACAAAAATGTATTCAGCACAGGATTATTCTTCCCCCATGCCCACAGCCCTGAAAGTGAACAGCGTGTTTTCTGAGCCTGGCATCCTAGCACACATAGACCTCCACTCAATCTGTCACGGTTTTCACATCCCTTATGTGTTATTTTTAAAATGAACATTTCTGCATCATATAACATGCTATTTTATAGGAAATGCATGACCAGACAAAAGAATACCAGTTTACCAAACTTCATGTCCCATGTTAAGCTGACAGAACACCTTTATAATGACTGCATGAAGTCACCGAGACATACTAAACCTACGGCCACTTGATGTTATCCTTAAAATCCCATTTTCAGAGTGGATTTGCGTCTGGTGTGATGAACCTCATGATAACATCATGATATCCACCCGCTCCTAGTTAATTGTGGAGTGTACTTACAGTGATTTTCTACTAATAGTACTTCATAGAATCATAGAATCATAGAGTGGCATAGGCTGGAAGGGACCTCAGAGATCATCTAATCCAACCTCCCTGTCATGGGCAGGGACGCCACTCAACTAGATCAGGCTACTCAAGGCTCCGTCCAACCTGGCCTTGAACAGCTCCAGAGAGGAGGCATCCACAACTTCTCTGGGCAATTTATTCCAAAGTCTTACCACCCTCGTACTGAAGAATTTCTTCCTAAGATCTAATTTAAATCTGTTCTCCTTCAACTTAAACCCATTTCCCCTTGTTCTATCAGTGGACACTCTTGTAAAAAGTCCCTCCCCAGCCTTCCTGTAGGTTCCCTTCAGGTATTGGAAGGCAGCTATTAGGTCCCCCCGAAGTCTTCTCTTTTCAAGGCTGAATGATCCCAGATCCCGCGACCTGTCCTCGTAGCAGAGGTGCTCCAGTCCCTCGATCATCTTTGTGGCCCTCCTCTGAACACGCTCCAACAAATCTATGTCTCTCTTATGGTATTTTATATATTTCTCCAACCTGAGTAAAAATAAAAATCCTTTGCATCTTAATCTTGAGAAGCACCTGAGAATCTCAGTTCAAATAGCAAACCTGTGAACACATGGAAGTCCTAAACAATGGAGACACAGACAAACCAGAAGAAATAGTGAAATTAAGATATTGATCAAAATAGCCATAATCTGAAGACATGAAAAACAAGATGTACAAAACAGTATCATCCATACAGATTCAAAATAGAGGCATACCGTCTAGAAAAGTTGATCTGTAGTCTACAGATTCACTTGAAACCATTTCTGTCGTTGGACTTACACTCCTCGCACTCACCAGCCTGTCCAGGTGAGGGGTATGCACTCTGCCATCATAGCGCACTAGGTCGCTTCCCAGATCTGAAGAGGGAGGAGAAAGAAATATTGGAAAACCCTCATGTTTACTGTGTGCCTACATTCATTTAGATATTTATTTAAGATGCTCGGCTGGGAAGAGGGTCAGGTTGTTGCTGAGGCAGGCACATGCAGGACCTGAACTTCAGCTACTTGAATAGCACAAGATTTGCAGTAACTTGTGTTAAAGCCCTGCTCTTGGCCACATTGAAGGATTCAAGAGGGCTTTATAGCCTCTGGGGCCAGCTTCATGATCTGCCTGTGATACCACATCAGAACAAGACCTGGTTGTATATTCCTTCCCCTTTGTGTAGTGCAGTGGTTCCCACTGGAAGGAAACCCAGACAAGAGGGCCAGAGAGGACGCACACTCTGGCCAAGCCCTTGATTTGGGTGAACAGGAGACAAGGACACTGCAGCACTCTGTGTCTTGTACAATCTAGGCACAGCCTAGAGGGCTGCAAGGCAACTGGATGAAGCTGAAGTACTCGCGATTCCAGGCATGTTATTTACTTGTCCCCTCTTCCAAGGCTGATTGGGGAAGAGAAGTTACTAAGATTTCCTAGTAGCTCAAAGTTCCTCTGAAATTCTTCTCCTTTAGGCATGGCATGGCCCTTCACCCAGCTCAGGCAAGAGCCAAGGGCAGAAATGCAACTAAACATTGGACTTGATTGTGAAACATCTGCTGACAGGTTGCAGCAGGGCATTGCATGGCAGTTAAGCAAAGCATATATTAATGCTAGTTTTAAAAATCTAAGATATAATAATGGAATTATTTAATAATATTGACTAGGATAGACCTTTAATTTGTTTCTTCTTCCTTCTCCAGAAGAAAAACACCAAAAAGATAAAAATTAAAACTGATGTTGAAACAAGTCCAGCAATTAGTCCCGTGAAATTCTGATCTTGTCGGATCAGCACTTTTCCTATAACTGTTGACAAAACTTCTTGCTTCCACTGAAAAAAAAAAAAAGAAAAAAACAGTGTGACGATTTCAAAAGACAAGTAAGAAGTAAATTATTAGTACTAAAGTATGAGCTGATATGTCCCATATGTATTAAATCTTGATTTTGTGATGCTGTACTGCGATAAGACACTGGGAGTGGAGAAATGATGATATTGGTGTATGTGAAAGCAGATTTACATCTTTATGATTCATTACATGCCTTCAAGAGCTCTGGTACTGACACAGCTACACCACACACACGGCACGCACTCACACACGCGCTCTGGATAACAGGGTCCCACTGCTACCAGATGTTAATTTAAAATGCTAAATTCATACTTTTACTCAAATGGTCCAGGGAAATGTATAGTCCTGTGGATATAGGGTCTGAAACATATGCTAAAAAACACTAATGTCTTTAATATGTTTCCTTCTGGCATAAATACGCTGTAACATCGAATTCTCTGTTGACAGCGCGCCTGGATTTTAGTTCCCAAGGTCACGTGAGCCTGTCCCTTGCCAGCTTCTAACTTGTCGACAGTTTAAAGAAACAAAACAAAACAAAAAAACAACCCCAAAAATCAACAACCAAACAAACAGCAAGCAGCTAACAGGGAAAAACTATTTCAGGTCACACGGCACTAGCTCAGTCAGTTGGAATGCATTTGGCCATCCTTTCTCTTCCTCCTGTGGAATTCATTCCTCTGGGTACTGTAATGATGGATTTGCCCGTCAAAAGAGCAAATTTTCTTCTTCGCTGGGCAGACTGCAATTTCTGAGGCTCCTTGCCAGTAAACAAGCAGAAACCTTGTTTAACCCCTTTATGTTGTGTTCTCTTCTACGTCCAAAATACATGTCACACGTATCTGTTTCTTAGAGATGAAGGAAATGTCACGTAGTAGAACTGACTGAACGCAATGCCAGTCCTTGTTGCATATGTAAAAATATGAACAGGTACAGCATGCAACATATGCACCAGAATTATAAGAAACTAGGCACTTACAGGTCTGGGAAACACGTAGGCCAAAAGGAGAGCTGCATTTAATTTTACAGTTTGCCTGATACATCCAAGAAATTTCATTTGTACTTTTCAAAATAAATCAATATTAAAATAAATTAATATTTACTATATTAATAAAGCAAATTAGTTATCCCTGGAGGTGTTCAAGGTCAGGTTGGATGAGGCTTTGGGCAACCTGGTGCAGTGGAGGATTTCCCTGCCCATAGCAGGGGGGTTAGAACTAGATGGTTGAGGGGGTTGAGGTCCCTTCCAACCCTAACCATTCTATGATTCTGTGATTCTATGATTCTATGATTACTATTTACCTAGATTGCAGTAGCACATAGGAATACCATTCATGGCCCAGAATCAAACAGGATGAATGCCATAAAGATATATAAAATATAGATGGTCCCTGCCCCAAAGAGTTTGCATAGACTTTGATTCTAGTCACACTCACATACTGGCAAATTTTCCACTCTTTTCAATGAATCAGAGCCCATGACCAGCAAATTTCACAGTTTAAAGGTAATATCGTTCCATTGTGATTTTCCTTTTTTATATTTAAAACAAATTACAAAGATATTGAAGGATTTCTGTCTTATTCCATGAATCAGCAGGTCAAAACTGTCTACAACTTAAATTTGCAGAGCACTCTGAATGACTCTATTGAGACCACCTTTAGAACAATAGCGGAACTCAGACATTTATCCTAAGTGTCTGCATCTTACAAAAAGAATTGAAATGAAATTATAAAAAGAAGACAAAAATCCTTTCAGAAAGGATCTGATCCTTCTGACTGCAGCAGAATTCTTTGCTAAAAAACGGACTTGTGAGCTCCAAAGTAAACCTACTCCATTATAGCTTCCCGTTCTTCCCCGTTTGTTTCCTTGTGTTTGAATTAATAGCTACCATTTTATTTCTGTGCTTAGTTTAGGTCCTGCTTTGTGCCTAAGGCTCCAGAAAGTCTCTGTACAAACAGGTAATAACAACAACGCTGATAATATTTCTTTTAAAATAGTCGATATTATTTGAATTTCCATCCGAAACAAAAAGGGATAGAGATTTCTCTGTAAACACAGGCTTAGGCTTAAATTTAAAGTTCATAGGTTCAATAGTGACATTGGGAATGATAATAAAAATGGCATTAATATCTCATGTGTGCTGTAGCTGCCTCACCTCTATATTTAGCTCGCTGTTGGACTTCAGGAGATCGCTGGGAACTGTACACAGAATTGATTCCGACTGCAGGAGGAGGTTTTCACAGCTTTTATTTCCAACTTTTAGCACCTCTCCTTTAACAGCTTCTGAATCAATATAATTTCCCTTGGGGAAAAAAAAAAATCAATTTCATATTACATAATTATCTTGTAAAAGTTAAGGAGAAGTTCTTTCATTACCTTGGAAAATGTTTTTAATGGAAAAACAATTGTGAAATAAAAGACTAACGCAAATTTACATTGCCCTGTCAATCTGCATGTATCAGGTATTTTCATGTAAATGGGAGTTTGACAGACAGGCCAGAGGGGGGATGATAATGTTTACAGATAAATCTGCTGTCACTAAGACTCATACAACCCATACAGACTTCTAAAAATGTAAACGTCTGAGAGATAAAATCTGTTGGTCTTGTTTAGATTTTTGTATAATTTGCATAAGAAAGGAAGCATTATACGACCTTGTTGTTTATACAAAACTGGTATTATATTATCCACAAACTAAAGGCATCTCAAACATCTTGTTCTGCAAGGGGTTATGGTAGCAGAAGTGAAGCTTTCAAAAAGGAATAATTAATTATAATAATAAAAATGCGCAAATCTGTTAAAGTCACATTTCATAGACCAAAGAAGAACAAACCCTGGTGAAGAGGACAGCATGAAAAGTGTGCTCCCTACTCAGAAAACCTGCTTTTGCATCCCAGACTCGGATGAAATATTATTCCTTCTGTTATTGTGATAGTAGTGTCGAAAAGCCAAGCTCAGGATCTTCTACGCTCAGGAGCGCATCAGTATTTAAGAAGCTGCCCTACCCCATGTACAGCTCAGCTCAAGATGAAAGAACAGGCACGTTAAGTGGGAGTAAATGGGGAGAAGGGAGGGTGGGGAGTTAACACTAATACAGGCTATTTAGGTGGGCTGGATCTGGGAGTTTTTCACAAGAAGGGAGGAAAGTGTCACAGCTGACATTGCTATGAGGCCTCGTGTACTGGAAAGAAAACAAGAATCCCATTCTGAGGGGCAAAAAAAATCTTACTTTAGCATATGTTTTAAGTCTGCTGCAGAATCAGACGGAGCACCAGGAAAATTTTAATAAATGTATAGGAGAGCCACTTTAACGTCCTATTTTGACCGATAAAGCCACACCCCAGGTGACTGCTTTTTAATTGCTGGCCAAAAAAGTCCATTTTGCCTGTATCTTCTGTCTACTTGGAGCCGTTCTGTTTGGTGTTAATTAAGTAAACATCCAATGGGCCAGAGAGGATGCAACTGACTGCTTATTGCTTATTAGCATGGAGACTTGCTGCTGATTGTGAGCCATTCATGTTCAGATCTTTCCTTTGAATGACGCACCTTGAAGGACTTGAATTTGAGTCTTCTATCTCTTCAGGATAAATGTACTATCCTGGAGAGTGTGGGCGAGTAGCCTCTTTTTCTTCTACACCAAATCTTTGCATTTTTCTCCACCAAAACTGATGCTTACACAAAGGAAAAAAAAAAATCATGCTGACATTTGCCTATGATTTCAAGAAAAGGAGGAAGCTGGCTCCTGTGAGAACTAGGAAACAATATTTCCTCTTTAAAATGCATATTACCCCCTTCTTGCTGAGCAAAGCCCTTGCACTCAAGCTGGAGAAGCTTGTTACCAGACGAAATAGCTGTTGCAAACCAATCTGATAGATCAACTACCTCACAACTTTAAAGAAATGGGAATAATTTGGGAGAAAGTCTAGAAGCTGTAGAAGGACCGCAAACCAAGGCATGGAAATTCTGAGATTGGTGTCAAATGAAATTTGAGTTTCCTAAGCAGAGAAGGTTGACTTGGAAAGAATGAGTAGTAATTGCAGCTGCAGAGCTTCCACTTCAGCTTGCTCATAAATACCAGGGTTTCCATATTGCACTTTCTTGGACCAGATATTGAGAGAAACATATTTTTCTATGCAATGTGGAAGAAGATTGAAAATAGAGTGACCTATAAATGGACAAGAAGCGTTCCTTAAGATTGTCTCATACAGTATGTGTTGTACTGGCTTAGGAATAGAGGAGGTCTTGTCCTACTCTTAGTTTTAGGACACACGTGCCAGAGGACAGCCAAGATCTCAGATGTGATGTGTAACATGAAATGACAGTTGTGCTACTTATTTCTCTAGTGGAAGATTCACATTTATAAATACACTTTAGTCACCTACTGGCCCATTCCCAGGTCTCCTCTGGAAGCATGCACAGAGACTGTGCATTGGCTTGGGTCATGAGTACAACCCCTGACCAGGCCAGGCCTCTGGGCAGACTGAGGTAAGAAGCTGTTTCTTTATATATTTATTTGTTGTTTGTTTGTTTGTTTGTTTTTCACAGCTAGGACACATTGTGCTGTCAGCGAGCCAGCTTGCAGGTCTGGGTCTGTGACTGCTGTGGGAGGCAGCAAGTAGACTCTGTCCTCTTGAGCAGACTCAGGTCTTCGGTCATCCCCAACAGTGAAACACCAGAATTTCTCCTGCTCTGAGAGCCTCTTGTGTTGGCAGGAGACGGGAGCACTTCTGAAGTGATGTATTCATGATGTGGGAGCAGAGAAGTGCCTCAAGCCGCTCTGCCATGACCCCTCTGACTAGGGCATGGTGGGCACTGAGAGACTGCAAAGAGCCACATACTTGGCAGAGGAAGATGGTGATGATGTGGGACCTTGGGAGGCTCGGTAGTGTGGAAGACAAAAGGGCTGGCACTGAAGACAAGAAGGGCTGGCATTCGTGGCACACAGTGCCCTGACTGTGTTTTAGATAGAAGACTTAATGTTTTCTTGTGTGTAACATTTTCTTACAAAAACATCTTATGGTCATGAGGGGAAACCAAACAGAACCTTTCAATTGGTACCCACTGTCATTTCATGAAAGCCAAATATGTCACACTGGATTAGTTTGATTGAAAAACTTGTGATAAAAGGTCCCTCCGCCCCTCTGAAACTAATTAAGAGAAAGATAAAAGAACTTTGGTTTGGTAGAACAGACTGTTCACTGAAGCAAACTGCCATTTAATTTCATGCTGAGCTTGCTTAATTACTGCACAAAATATGACCATGAGGCATGTAAACTTGTGTGTGTGTATTTCTGAATGCGGGTAAGGGACGAGGGAAAAGTGTTGCCAATATGGCTTGTAATGATCTTCTGGCTCCCGACTATGATTTCTGAAAGTCGCCTCAGTGTTTTGGTAGAAGCATCCCACTATAATTAATTCTATTTAGAGGAAGATGTTAAATTGGTGCTTGTTCATGCTTTGTTCTAGGAGACCAGCTTTCACTGATGTTATTCTACAGTTGGTTGCCAGGAAATAACCAGGGCATTAGGCTTAGGTAGACCTCTGCCTTGGGTGCCATGACTACAGGTGACATCAATACTACAAAATTGTGACTTTGGTCAGTTGTCAGTGCTACAGTCCTCAGCCAACCTTTCTCATCGGAATGGCGTCTTCCCAGCGATAAACGGCACTAGGGACTTCTCCTTCAGGAAGAATAAAAGGTTTGAGAGCAAAAGAAAGACAAGAATTAAAAAAATAACTAATTTTTAACCCTCAGTCTCTAGGAAGATTATTGAGTAAGTCTTCATGGAAGAATTTTCAGGCAGAGGAAGGACAAGAACGCGATTGAGAACAGCCAATCCAGGTTTCCCAAGGGTGGATTTTGCCTGAGCAGCCTGGCTTGCCTTCTATGCAGAGATGACTGGCTCTGTAGACGAAGGGAGAGCATTGGACAATGCTTACCTTGATTTTAGCAAGGTTTGCAACACAATCTCTCCTAGCAGTGGAAGCAAACTGGGATGATATGGACTAAACAGATGGACTAGAAGGTGGGTGAAAAACTGACTGGCCATCAGCTCAAATCTTGAAGTGTAACAAGTGGCATTTGTCAATAGCTGATACTGGAACAATACTGCTTAAAATCTTTATCGACATCCTGGACCAAGGGACAGGACGATAGGATGCACTGTCCTTGTGCTTTCAGATGACATCAAATTTAGGAAAACAATTGATATATGAGACCCAAGGTGGAATGAGGCAGCAGTGTGCCATTGCAGTGATGAAGGCTCAGCATACACTTTAGCAGCAGCAAAGCGAGTAGATTGAAGGTGATTGTTCTCTTCTGGCCAGCACTTGTGAGGCCACACCTGGAGAATTCTATCGAGTTTTGAACCCCACAGAACAAGAGAGATACTGAGAAACTGGATGAAGTACAGCAGAGGGACACTGAGCTAGGAAGGGAGCTGAAGCGAAGGATGCTAGTGGAGTTGGGTGTTTTAAAGCTGTAAAATCTCAACTTTTGGAGATTTTAAAAACTTATCTAGACAAGGCCATGGGAAACCTGACCTAATTTTTAACTTAGCCCTGTTTTGAGCAAGGGGGTTAGACTACAAAGACCTCCAGAGGTTCCTTGCCATCTAAGTTATTCTATGACTCTTCTCAAATTAGTCTTCTTTCCGATCGTTTGATATGCATGACCTGGAAAATGCTGGAAAACACTGCTGTCACCGCACAGAGGCACTGAGCCATGCAGCAGCTCTCCATTGACCCGCACACCAGAACTCTTTCTAGTGTTTCTCCATAACTGAACCAGAGAATTGCTCTGCACTGAGGAAGGAGTGATTGTACAGCCAAGAGTTCCAAGTAGAAAAAAACAAACAAACAAAAATCTGACTGATTATTCTTTGGAATTTTCCCAAAACACTTTGTGGAGACAGTTCAATATTCAGAGAGTTTGACTGGAACCCAGTATGGCTGACAGAAGCTCTGAAGTAACCTGCTCTGATTTCCTGCAGCTCAGAAGCTGGCCCACTGGACCATCTTGGAGTCAAAGACCCCAGGGGTTCAAGATTTCATGACTGTCATAGGGGAAAAGAGTTTTGGCTTATAGAACTATGGAACAGCTACACAAAGAGATGACCCCAGCATTAATTAACACTGATTCTCTTCCATAAAGCATTTTTTATAAATTATATTCTATATAAATTACAGGTATTCTATATAAATTACATGTACATAACAATACATTTTCATAAATATTCATTGTAAATTAGAAATACCTGTATTTATACTGTTTCTATTTGATACTCTAACTCAGAAAAACACTAGATTTCAGGAAATCAGACTCTTGCAAAATAGATTTAACCATCTTCACAGCATTCTAGTAGAGAGCAGCCTGTGGCTGTGAGGGCCCCAAATTCCTAACAGATATTTCCCAGTGCTGTGTAGACTATTCTCAGTGCTGTTTTAACACTCAGCATCAACTTTGCATTTTTCATGGATCTGTAAATATTTAGGCTATATTTAGTTGATGCTGAGTTGATCCTCATGAGTGACTGTGCATAGGCCAGAGTTTCCCTCAGCTAGGGAAAGCCACAACCGCTAGGCCACTTTCTAAAGGCAGCTCCACGTCTTTCATGAGGAAGGACACAAAACCATGTGACAGTAAGAGAGCCGGGACTTATGCGCAGACCACACACTTTAGGTTCTGGGCTGATGGCCATGTTTAATCCTAAACTGGTGACACAGCTTATCGCAATTGGAGGCTGACACAGCCTGGTCCTCACATGAGGACAAGGAAAGCCTCTCTCCCACCCAACCTGATGCCAACAACTACCCTGATACATCTTTGTTTTCAGCTCTGCATCTTTTAAGTTCTGACAGCTGGGGGCTCGGGTGAACGCAGTACTGAACACACTACTCTCTCTGCCCTTGCTTCCTTGGAGCTTCCTTTATTTCATCAAAATGTCTGTTCCATGTTACACTGCTAATGTGCGCTTGCGAATAATTGAAAAACCTACTTCAACATTTCTTACCTTAATTTCCAGGATGTTTTGGTTGCCTCTTGAGATCAACACTGGCTTTTCAAAATGCTTAAATACAGGATTATTTACATAATCGAAATCGAAGTACAAAGAGCTGACACCATCGAAAATAAAGAACACTTTGGTTACAAAGGGTGGTTGGAGATTGAAGGCTTTCAATGAAGGAGTTGTACAGCAGATTATCTCTGAGCTAGAGCGGTGGCTACATGCCTGTAAGAAAGAAAGAAAGAGGTAATTGGAGTAACTACGTGCATAGGAAGTTGCTGATGAACGTAACTGTTCTTTAACAATACACATATATTGAAAAAATAAACACCAGGGGTCTTGTTCTTTTTAACTGAAGTAATATCTTGATCAGTGCTACACAGCGTTTATTTAGAGCTGGGAGAAAAGTATAAAAACTTCATGTCAATGGTGTTTGCACTCTTGTTGAGGAAATGTTCAAGTAAACAAGCTTCCTGGCCTGATTGTTCACAGCACTTTTAAAGTAAATATTTTGCAGATAATTAATGGAAAATGATTTCCAAAGCCAAGGACTATTGGGAGGCTATCTTGATGTACTGAGCTGTACTGGGACCCAAAGCAGCCATAATTCGGTTTATCCAGCCTATATCAGAGTGACTACCACATGGATTTACCTTCCTTTTACACCATCAAAGCAATAGTAAGGGACCAGAGGAGAAAGTAAAAATAGGGCAAATGAATCTGACTGAAGTAATGGAAAACAAAAGTAAAGCACCACTTACCCACAGCGTAGCTAAGCTGCTATGTTGCCAGAAAGCCACTACAGATGCTGTGAGAAAGCGCTTTAAAGCCAAAGCCACCATGGGATTCTGGGCCATGAAAGCTCAGCAAAGTGTATCTGCTTTTTAAAAATGTATATGTAAAGCCCCGGAGGTGTGGCGTTCGGTGCTCAGGTACACAGGTGTCATGCAAGTCCCTCCTGGGAGTGCTGACTGCAGGACGTGCTTCACGCTGTACCTCCTTGGACCAGCGGGATGAGACGTTTGCCCCTCACTGCAGTGCAGGAGCTGCCTGACAAGAGGCATGAAGCCACGCTTGCCCCTCACTCTGCCGTTATTCCTCGTGGAGGCCTGCTCTAGAGGTGCTTCTGAGGGGGAAGCTGCTGGTGCACCCTACACTTCAGAAGACCTGCCAGAGCATGCTTCGTGCTGTGCAGGTGCGATCCAGTGTGAAATGTCTGGCCAGGGTGCTTCCCTTCATCCCATACCACCTTCACACAGGACTTGTGAGACAGACAGGATGGTCCCAGGTCCTTCCTAAAAGGATTGCTGTGTTGCAAGCAAGGGCAGGAGGGGTTTGCAGACAGCCTGATGTGAAGCTGTGTTTAGGCAGTTTGCAGAGATAAGGAGAATCCTTGCAGATGGTATTGATCCAGCCTGCATCCAGACACCTGTGTTGAAGTTAGCTGTCTAAACTCCCTTTACAGTCATCAGAGGCAAACAGGCTCACCTAGAGTGGGATTCATCTGATCTGTTTTAGACAACAGCTTTAATTAGATTAACGGTGCTCCAGAAGGGTCGACTTCGCTCTCTTGATCGTGAAGGTTTCTACATGACTAATTTGATTGTAATGTCAACAGCACATCCATAAGCATGGATGGGAGGCACGGTGGGTGCTGGGCAGCATCACGCAAACCAGAGTGGCTCGTTTGTGACCGTACCGTGTAGTCCCTTCACTGTGCCTCCCTTTCACGCTGCCTACCGTGGATATGGTTGAAGGACTTCTGGCACAAACAGAGTTGCTTCAGCTCTACAGAAGTATTCCTCTTCTAACTGTACGAACCTTCTGTAAGTAGTTCACTGTGCACTGTGCCCTGACGGCAGCGATTACACTTTTTCTTTTCTGTAAATAGAGTGGCTGACATGTGGCCCAGTAGGAATGGGGCTTGGCTCCCAGTCATGATAAATCTTATATTTGTTCTACAAGAGATTTCCCTGGAAAATCAACAGTGCTGTTGAACACCTTTGCAAATCTAGAGAAGGCCAAAACAATTTATATTTTTCTGTTTTGTTTTCAAATTAAATTGGTTCTCATTATAAAATGCTGCCTGAATGAGCTGTGAAATTAGTTTACATTTGTCTCTAATATGCTAAATTAATGCAATGTAATTTTGCTGTGTTTCAAATCAGTGACATAACCATTCAAGCTGTATCAGTTATATACTCACATTAGCTTGAAAAGTGGGATTAAATTACCTATCTACAAATCAGCACTTTTTCTTATCATGTTTCTGTGCATAATATTGTGAGATCTTGAATCTGCCAAGGGAAACATTTTCAAGGATTTGAAATTGAGCACTAGAGCTCTACTACAAGGGTTACACATCTGTGAGCTGTGAGGTCTGCACTCAGTTAAACAATTTGGTGCAGCTCTTAGTGATGCTAATGGGACTTGCACCCATGCAACTAACAGCCCATTTAGATTCCTAGCACAAATTCAGAAATATTTGTGCATTCCCCATGATAACAAGGTAATCCGCGGGACACAAGACAAGGCAGAACTTTGTTTCATTTGATAACAGTATTAGACTATCCTTCCTCTTTTGAATACCTTGTTACACACCATTTACTATATCTCAGGCTTCGTTATGTCACACGGATCTAGAAATTCATTTGAATCAGCATGGTAATAACAAGATGCACTGTTAGTATAATGTAGGATCATGCCATACTTTTCCATGATATATGAATATTCGTAAAGATATCTATCATATTGTGTCGATTCTAAAAAGGGATTACTAAAATATATATAATTATAAAACCAAATGTGTCCCAGGTAATCATTATATTTATTTGATTAATGTAAATTCATTAGACTTTTTATCTACTGTAGAGTAGTGATGTCCCTTAAATGAATAGCAGTGGTATTCATAACTTTGTTTGTGGCTATCTATTAGAATCAGATACTTTACTTTATCAGGCTGGTCTCTGAAGAGGAAGCTTTCAGAAAATGATAAAAATCTAATAATACTCCTTGGAGGGGATGCAATGTGACTGATTGGTAAGGTCAAGAAAAATCTTATTTGCAATGCCCTTATTGGTACATGATTTGACATGACATTTTTACCTTGAAATTGGTTTTAGCAATTGAAGAATATGACGGTTTAGTTTTCAAGAAATATTGGATTGAGGATCTATAAGAAAAAAACCCTAATTTAATCTATTGCCTTCTCAATTAAGATACTGCCTATCATCCAGCACCTTTAACTTTTATTTAATTAGGCTTTAAAGTCCATTCACTTTAAAAGCTAAGCCTATGTTCTTCTTGTGACTATAATCTACATCTGAAGACAATAAGGAAGAAAAGATGTAAAAATCATGGAACATTTCACAAGCATAAGTAAATACTATACCCCAAAGGGAATAATAATCCTTTGCACAATGCATATGAGTCATCACTTAAAGGTATGTATTCTTGTTTCATTTGTAAAATATGACCCTCAAGGCAATTAATTCAAACCTGACCTACAGCATCTGAACTTCAGTGCCCAATTCAATATTTTTTCATCTGATGAACAACAGGAAAAGTATGAGGGAGGATCTCTGAGCTCCAGAGGTCTCCCAGCAGCTGATCCAGATAAGAAAGAGGCAGTTGGATGTGTATTATAGGATCTGTAGCAGTCAGAAAAGAGGAAAGGGCCAATTTGTCCTTTCACGAAAAGTAAACTTCTGGAGTTTCAGTGAGGAATGAAAGATGAATGAGGTTAAAAGCAGAATGGGAAACTCTCCGACTGTCTTTGCCAAAGGATGATTACTCAATAGAAAGAGATGAGAATTCAGGTCTAACTTGAGGAAAGTCCATTCAGAAGGCTTTTCTGTGTAGGTGAGAAACTCAGCAATGACCCTCAAGCAGAGTATCTTGAAGATTTTTCAGGGAACTCATTGGCTTTTGCTGCCATTTCAGGTAGTGCAATGAACGGTGCTAATGGACGGGTAGCATTTTTATTCTAGTTATCTTCTTGGATGAAGGCATGGGAGATGATATTTCCAGTCTCTCAGATCATTGGAGCAGAAGGTAGAGTAAAGCCTCTCTTGCTCCTGGGTCTGAGAGCCAGCCCTTCACACAACACAACCAATATTTACCAGGAGTCTGAATTCCTCCCTGGACTCGGGATGGTCAATATGTACCTGCTAGCACCACATCCATGACACCCCGGTGATTTCACAGCGTGGGCTTTTCCCTGACACCCCTTACTGCCCTCTTTCCTTAGCAGGAGATGTTCATGAGATGCAGATTTGGCACAGAAAGAAAGGCCAATGGTTCCCCTCCACAAGTCAAACTCTTTGCTGGGCTTCTGTGGCAGCTTTTTGCCACAGAGTCAATACAGATAGAAGCTATAATTATTTAATAAATCCAAGGTAGATTCACACTGCAGGTGAATTCTAGGCATTCTGATGAGTATTATGAGTATGGACTGTTCACAGACTTGTTAACACTGAAGGAAATCCTCCTGTAATAGAGCAGGAAATGGCAGCTAGCAGGGAGCAGTTAAGAAATGCTAAAGATCATTCAAGAGACTACTTACTGAAGAGATAATTAAAAGTCTGTGGAAAGAGATTATCTTTCATACTCACAGGGTTAGTTGTAGTAGAAGGTCATGCATTAAAAGGTGCTTCTCCCTAGCTTTGCAATCTTGCATATCTTGGGACATTCATGCTTAGAAGGGATTAAGCAGTGGGAATATATATCAAAATTAGTTAATACTAATATGGAATATTAAAAATGCTATAAGCAAAGGATCCCCAAATGACCACTTGTTCACTATTGGGGAATCAATGCAAAGTACAGGCTTTCAAAGAGAAAATATTGGCCTCTAGTGCTTCATGAGCAGCAGAATCATCTAGCACGACTTATAGCAGAGGTTAGAAGACACTTATTTTGTAAACAGGCTCCTGATCAAACATCATTCCAAACTGCACAAAGCTTTTTTACAGGCCCAATGCAAAGTGAAAGGAAGGAATGATCTGCTTCTCTCCTTGTGCACCTCACAGAGAAACTGGACACGTGAGCAGACGTGAGAGGGTTTGTGTATCTTTATGTGATACCTAGAGCTGTCGGGGATTTCTGCAGCACTGCCTAAATTCGTATTTTTTGTTCCTAGTCAGAACAAATGGTCAGAAGAACTCATGAAATAGAAATTAAAAAGAAACACATTGCAAGTATTGAAACATATGGTTCAACAACTCTAGAACATTTTTTTCACTCACTGAAATACCAAATTCTAAGAAGGCAAAACGTATTATTTTGATAGTGTTAACATAGAATGTAATATAAACACAACTAGTGTTAACACAGTATTGAATAATTTTAAGGAAATTTAAATAAACATGAATCAAAAATTATGAAGTTGAAGCAAGACATTTTTGCCTTATAGAAGAAAAACCTTCAGAAATACTGAACTTCAATAGTGAAAGCTGAAAAGATCAACTTAAATGTTTCTTCTATAGAGGTCTGGCTGTTGCCCCCACATTTTTCAATCTCAGTGAATCTGCACTTCTTATGAGGAGTTGTTCCAGAAAACCTCTTTTACCAGTTGTACCGCTCATCTCTTCCACCAGGATCAAAAGAAACCAGCAGAGAAGAGCAAATGCCCCAGGGCACGTCAAGAGGCTCTGCTCCCTGAGGCTCTGAGATGCAGAGCATCCCCAACAGCTCCTGCTGCTTACGAAAGTGACCCTCCTCTCACACTTTGACTCCATCAGGGTTCTAGGCCACAATTAAGCCTGAAGAAGTGAATTAAGGGTCTGGGGGCAAACAGCTGACAGGAAAAGGTGAGACCTCTTTTAAATTTGGCACCACTAGTTTTAGGCAAATGGGAGAGGGTCTGGGAGGTGGCAGAAAGAACGAGCAGAGCTCTAGGAAACAACATATATCATAAGAAGGTGGAGCAGTTTGGTTTGCTTCAACTGGAAAAGAGAAAAGTTGAATCATAGTGTAGTGCAAATATGTAAAATTAGCAGGAGAGACTGGTAATCTGGTGTTTGTGTCCACTGAGGGTTAAAAAGAAGATAGCTAATTAGCAGCTAGAATTTGGGTTAATTATTAGAAAGAAGTCTTTCTAAACCACTAGGTAAGCAGGTAGAGCAGCTCTCTCCAAAGCTTGTTTAAGCAAGGCTGTGAAATTTCTTTCACAAGGAGCTTTAATAACAGCCTAGACAAATATCCGTCAGGCAGTGGTCTGGGTACATTTGCTCCTGCCGCAGGGAAGCAGGCCAGGCTAGGTCTTTGTGGTCCCTCCTAGCTGTACTTTCCTTTGATGCTTTGGGACGTGTTTCACTGCTGGCTTTGGTTTTCCCAAGAGCCAGAGTTTCTGAATGCTGACAAAAGCAGCTTCTTGGAGGAGGCTGGTGAGAGAAAACTGAAAAGAAAAAGGTCTTAAATAACAATTTAAAAAAATGACTCAGCTCTCCTCTCCCAAACTAAGGAATCAAAAAGATACATAACCTCAGCTATAGGCCTTCTTGACCACTTTGGTTTGTATTGTACTGTTTGTCTGGGTGTGGTCTACACAACCTGTTTTCTCCTTTATAAATGGGACAGCTGGTCATCGCAGCGCTCTGGATCTCTGCTGAAAGTAGTTCCTCATCATTGTTTATTTTTGTAAAGACTGGATGAAAGTTTGGGTTTTTGGCATATCACTCATGCATAGGGCCCAGAATCTCCAGTGCAGGACGGGGCAGGTTGCAGCCATAGGCATGTTTCGCCAGCAATTTCCTCAGTTACACAGTGCAAGCTTGTTTTGCCACTTATAAATCTTCCCCTTCTCCCTGAGAACAAATATCCTTCCTTGAGAAATAAGCTCGAGGTAAAGACTAGTGGCAGAACAAATGGCAAGCAGAGCTGGGCTGCCACGGAGGGAAGGAAAGCCACTAGGTGCCAAAAGCCTTTAGTTTCAATTGGACAAAATATATTGCTTGGGAAGTGTCAAAGGTGTCAAAGTACAAAACACTCTGGATTGCAACCTGTTTGGGGTTATATTCTACCCTTTGTGCAGGGAGAATGAACTTGTGTACCGCTGCTTTTATACTGGGACAGAGATCAGCAGCGGTAGAGGACAGACATCCTTACGGAAAAGGAGAGTCAGACCTGGCCCTTCTTATGCGTTGGCAAATATCATGCATGCTGCAAGGTATGAAAAGAAAAAGAATAAGGCAGACAGATAATTAATTCTGACTGTCTATGTCCACGTCTTTTTTCAATAGCAGGTTAAAAGGCAGGATGGCAGCAAACCACTGCTCAAAGGAAAGGTTGCTCCCCAGTATTTGAGGGAGAAAGTAAACTCTACAGTGTTCATTGTCTGGAGTTCCCAGTCACTTTTGGACAGTGGATTTACTTGTTTAAAACTTCAGATCCTTTCAAATCTGTTCAAATTCTGAGGAAGTTCCAAATTTTTGACAAGCATGGTATGCAGAACCAGGCCCTGAAGAGAAGCAATATAGCATATTGTCACAGGGGAAGAGAGAAAGCAAGTGAATGATCTTTACTTCAAAAGAAAGACTGCTCAAATCCACAGAAAGCAAAGTCTAAAGAGCTGATTTCAGTAATGATCTTTGCTTTGGCAATCTTTTGTACTTAGAAATAATCATGTCCACGTTACTCAAAACCTAATAAATTTTGAATTTGGTTGATTTCACAGAAATGTTTTGCTTTCCAACTCATGGGTAAAGTGTCTTTTTGATAACATTGAACAACATGTTTCATTGCAGGGGCATGGTTTTCAGATTAAAATCTGAATCCATTAAATTACAAGCTATGATTACATCCAGCTGAAATTCAGGTCCCGACACTCCTGATATTATACAAATTACGATCATGAAGAATATTATGACCTTGAAGCTATAAAAGACTGCAAATTTGCAGACATACCACTTAAAATGCTTTGAGCAAACCTAGGGCTAATACTTAGAATTCAACACAGGACATAGTGTATGATGATCATTAGAAATAAGCTGAGAATATGAGCAGTAGCATAGCATGTCATAAAGAGTGTAGGTCAATTTAGCTTCAGTTAGGCTAAACAGACCTTACAGGATAAGAAGATGCTGGAGGTGCAAGACAAACGTGTATGCAAAAGCTTATAGGAAATAGTTCCAGTATAACTATCCAATAAATGTCATCTTTGCCCTATAAAAATGAAAGTAGATCACATGGTCATATCTGATCACCTTATTTCGATTTAGACACTGTACATTATCAACTCAGGTAACAAAAGAAGGCTCCTATCCTTGAGTGACCTTCTGTTCATGCAGAGATACGCAACTGTAAAAGCCCAAACATCTCTTAAAACTTAGCTGCTGAACTTTGATAAGTTAGGAAACACTCGCCCCAATAGGTAATTTGGCAATCAGAAATTCTTCCAAATAATACTTACTTTTGTTTTATATATTTGCTTTTCCTCATTCTTTAAAGCTTATTCCATTTTCCTTTTACATGCACAGTCACCATTTGAACGTATTTCCTACCTATCACAGTAGCACTTGAACTTGCCGTAAAATCTGACATACTCATATTGCATTGTTTGTGTTTAGCCACTGAATTTGCATTGTTAAATTGCAATATAAAAATCCTGTTATCAGACAGTGTAAAAGCCCTATTTCTTTGGAAGAAGATCCTTGGAAACTGTTGTTCTACCCTCATCTTAATTTCAAATTTGTTGTTGAGTTTTGCCTATGCAGTGGAAACAGTCTGTGCAGAAAACACCAAAATGTCGGTGGAAGCCCCAAGGTTTCAAGGCAAAAATCAAAGTATTTTGACTGAAAATTCTGTGCCATTCACCACATGATGATGACAAGATAACAGATTGTCTTCTCCAAGACTGACTCACCACAGAGAAGTTCATTCCCAGTTTAGGTACAGTAATCACCATCTGAGGAAAGCACACGGAGTTCAAGTTGATTCCCTGAGCTGTGATTGTACTTCCACCACTAGGAAAAATTAAAAAAAAAAAAAAAGATGATGAGTAGGATAATGATACATCTGCTGTGATAATCTTAATTACAAATTATATTTTAGAGTAAATGACAACATAAAACTAGAATTAGGGATATATGGGGTGAATGCAAATACATAGCTCCGAGCAGTGAGATTATTTTTCTGGGAAACAGATTTTACACTTGCTATAACAACTAATCAAACATAAGAAAAGAAAAATAGTTTTTTAAAATTGTGGTATGCTAGGATAGAAAACAAATGTGTACATTTTAAAGAAGGGTGTATACTTGTACTTAGCATTAGCTAACTAAACTTATTGCTTTCAGTGGTGCTGAAAAAGGTGTCTTTTTTTACTGCTGACATTTTTTTTGGCAAAGGCAGATGGCTTGGATTAGAGCTACTGAGACCATAAATATGTCACTTAAAAACACACACATACTACCCTACATATATATTCATAATATTTATGTAGCGCTGGATTTAGACTATTTTAAAATCCATTTGCTCTCCTGAGTACCGCTGACTTGTCACATTAAATGATTTTCCTCACTAATCAGGGTAATGTCCAGACGCAGTATAGGAGACACACTTAGCTGTACAGGAGGTATCTCAGCAGGACATCACAGGTACTGTGCTGCTCAGCAGCAGCTAGGAGTTAAATCGCACAAGGAAAAGAGGTGCCCTTCCCCCTTCTCCTTCACCTCTGAAAGGAAATGATCTGCCCTCTGCAACTGCACCGTAATAGAAGCAATTGGCATGGCAGATAGAGATAAAAATGCAATTTCTTTTGATAGATTGCTGCGCAGCACAGCCATTCTTCTTTCATTCATTACTTTTCTTATTTCTACACGAAACTTTTATTCACCTAAGAAAAGATTTGGCCGGATGAATTTTTAAAACAACGGGGTCTTCTCTGTATGTGAAATGACCGCTGGCGTCTCGCACGGCTTCGTCGATTGCCACCCTCACACGATATTCCTGGGGAATTCGTTGTGCCGGAGTGTAGCACTCCACAGTGCTCCCTGATATGCTGGAAGGACAGAAAAAAGCTTGCTTGTCAGCATCATAAAACATATACCTGGTTTAAAACACTGCCCTTTAGTGAGCCCCAACCCCACCTAAGGATCCATGCGTGAAAATATGTCATTGATTCTCACACTGGATGATCATATTGCAACAAAGAAGCATGGCAACGTCATTGATTCTCACACGGATGAGATGATGGATGATCATATTGCAACAAAGAAGCATGGCATGACGTAGAAACAGAAACATCACTGCTTAGGCTCAAGATTCATCTTAATTGGGTTGACTTGCACCTTGCCTGCTGAAAGGTGTCTTCCCAGTGCTGGCGACAGCCACATCAGCCCCTGCGCCCTGCAAAAGCAGTTTCCAGCCTGGAAAACAACAGTACGCTCCAGGTTTAGGAAGAATGACTTGTTCTGCTATAACCCAGGGATAATGTCTTTCTCTTTCAAATCCACAGGATTTATCCTGTGTTAAAAATCTCAAGAAAAGGTGCTGGTGGGGATGTACCCGCATGTCAGAGATGTACTGCCCTGGGGGTACCTGCTGACTCCAGGTGCTGCTGAGGGGCAGGCAGAAGGCAAGGAGAAGGGAAAAAGGTGAAAATCCAGGCTGAATTCAGCAGAGCAGCGGAGTCACTGGGATATTCATCTTTCTGTTGCTCTCTCATGCTTGGCCATGGAAGTCCTCCTCCTACACTGAGCTCAGTGGGTGAGAGGGCAGCAGAGAAGTGTAGGATTCTGAAGCTTGAAGCACATGAAGTGTGGCCACAGGGAGCAGGGCACATCAGAGACAATGGTAACAACTGACTGGAGAAGCAAATGTAACTCTACCAGCTGGTTTCAGTGATTTGGGCCCAACCACATCCAGGAGTCCTCCAAGGTAGGCTGTTCTCAAAGGATGTAAGAGATTGTCTCCAAATTAGACAAAAGGGGCATTTACTGCCACTTCTGAAGCATTCCAGCAAGGGTGGGTTCACCATGTGCCATAGGGGTTAGTGATTTGTTCATATGTATCTAGAAGCTTTTTACAATCTTTTAAAGCAAAAAATAGACCCTTGATTTAGCTGCCTTCAGAACTAAGGAAAGCTGCCAGTTTAGGTAGAGAAATACCTGCCCTGAGAAACTGGCTAAAAGGCCTGTGTAGAAGTCTCCAGACAACTTTGCTGGTGAGAAAGAGAGGTGCTGGGGCTGCTTACTGGGTAAGCCCCAATTACAGTTAGATACTTAGAGGTCCACCTGACCAAAGCAGATGTCTGCCTCTGAGCTGGCTGTCATCTCACCCCCACAGTACATGTCTCAAATGGATCAGATAAATCATTCCCAAAAGGTTTATATATTTGCCCATTAGTTGACCAGCTGAGATGATGACATCAATAAATGCCACTCCTAAACTATTAAGTAGCCACTGAACAGAAGTGCTGAAGATCTTGGTAATGATTAAATATCAGACTTGAATACCTAAACCCCTTTCTTGATTTAGTCAGACTTATCTGATTTGATCAAAAGCATATAATAAATCATTTAGCAGCAAAGAATAAAAAAAAACAACCACATAATCCAGGAGTGCAGCACAGGCTGGGATCTACTCAGGTGGGGAGCAGCTCTGTGGAAAAGGATCTGGGGGTCCTGGTGACAGCAAGCTCAAGATGAGTGAACAGTGTGCTGCTGCAGCAAAGAAATTTAACAGGATGCTGAGTTCCATCAAAAAGGGCCTCACCAGCAGAGACAAAGAAGTCATTATTCTGCTCTACTCAGCACTTGTCAGGCTACACGTGGAATACTGTGATCAGTTTTGGTCTCCGCTATAGACAAAAGATGTGGACAGGCTGGAGAGGGTCCAGAGAAGGGCCACAAAGATGATGAAAGGGCTGGGAAACCTGCCGTATGAGGAAAGGCTGAGACAACTGGGTTTGTTCAGCCTGGAGAAAAGAAGGCTTAAGGGAGACCTTATCACCGTATTCCAGTATTTAAAGAGTGGCTACAAAGAAGATGAGAATCCCTCTTCACAAGGAGTCACACAGAAAAGATGAGGGGTAATGGCTACAAGTTACTTCTGGGGATATTCCAGTAGGAAGCAAGAGAAAAATTTTTCACAGTGAGAAAAATCAACCATTGGAATAATCTCTCCAAGGAAGCGGTGGATTCCTCAACACTGGACACTTTTAAAATTGAGCTGGACAAAGTGCTGGGCCATCTTGTCTAGACTGTGCTTTTGCCAAGAAGGGTTGGATCCCTGAGGTTCCTTCCAACCTGGTATTCTATGATTCTATGAATAAAATTTAGCTTTCCTGACCTTGAGTCTGACGTTAACTAATAGGCTATTGCTTCACTATGTTCTCCGCAAGTGTGACATTTCACTACTAGGACTTTCCATAATCAGGAGGGACTCAAAATTTAGAGGAATTGCTGGACATCCTGTTCCTGGAACACAGTGGGCCAGATTCTGCCCTTGGCTGCAGCAGTGACAATTCTGGAGCCACCCTGCTGCATCTGAAAACAGGACCAAGCAGGATTTGTTCCATGGTAGAATGGCTTCCAAATTCAGAACCCTTGTCTGCCCATAGCTGAGAATCTACGCTTGGTATTTAACATTGACATTCCGCTGGGATTAAAGGCATTTCCACCCAGAGCATGTCAAAGACTCTTGACTGAGTTCCTTCTGGATCCAGTACAGAGCCACAAGAAATTCTAGCTTAATCCTCAAAACAATGTTATATATATCAGGAAAAGTCCCAAACTGATGCTGCCTCTGGTTTTGAGGCTGTTTACTGACAGTAGCCCAGAAATAACTGCTCCTCTGCATGGGATACACGTTCCCACACCAGTCAGGTTTCTACTGAACAAACCAGTAGGAAATGGTAACGTGCACCCACTGGATGCTCACTGGGAGCTGCTGCATGAACAGCAGCTCTTGCTAATACAAGAAAGAAGGCTGAGTGTGCAGGAGTCAGGGCGATAAAAATGAGGGAAAATGGGCAGTTTCTAGTCCATTAGAAGCTGTTTGCCACTTCTCTATGCAACCTTTTAATGAGGTAATGAACAGAATAAACATGTCTTCTAGGGAATTGTAGTCCCTTCTAGGAATCTTTCAGACATCCTAAACTCCAGAGGTAATCTAGAACTCAATGCTTATTGCAATATCAATTCTCCGATATGTAACATGAGGACAGGAGAGCAATGCACGTTTGTGGTTTTTTACTCCAAGACATTTTAATCAAGTCATTTCAATATTAAAGGCATCACTTTTCAGTAAGTACATTACCTTTTCAAAGTGCATGGTTTCTCACCAACAAAAATCCTTCTGGATTTTCCACTGTTTAGATATTTTCCAGCCACAGTTAGCAACGTTCCTCCAGATTTGGGGCCATAAGTGGGAGAGATACTTGTTATTACAGGATTCTGAGGGGGTTAAAATAAGAACAGTAGATTGTTAAATTATTTTCAAAATGTGAAGAGGAAGAATCTTAAAACATTTATTAGCATTTCCATGAAGTAATAATAAAGCAAACAGGAATATAGAATTACAATACTGGATTGGACTCATGAGGAGTCTCCTTCCAGTTAATATTGAAGCTAATTTTGACAATAAAAGTTTAATTATAGTGCTTACCACATACGAAAATGTATTGAATAGTGTTTTGCCATGTCCAACAGAAACACTACTGGATATATTAAAACTTGGATATTTTGCAGCAGGAACTGTGCATTCTAGCCTTTGGAGAACAGGGAAAAAGAAGGGATTACATTTTTTTCTGGCTTGGTTTTTTGTATTAAACTAGAATCACATCAAACTCGCAATAATGGGGAATCCATACCAAATAAATCATCAATCTATGTGCATCAGGAATATTTCAGAAATAACAGCTAAAAAAACTGTGATCGTCGTCTTTAATACCAAATACAAACACTGTGGTGTTTATATTTGGCCAGAGAAAATAATTCTAGTATATCAAATCAATTTCAGAAAAAAAGAAGCATGTTAAGAAAAAACAAATACTTCTCATTCAATGGCTGAGTTGTTTTTTGAGGTTTTCCTTTAGTGCCAAATTTCGGCAGACAACAGAATTAGAAAAAATGCATCATATACACAAGTTTGTTGTATAAATTTAAACATTACCAAAAACTAAACTTGAATTTTTGTGGCAGCATGTGTCAATGTATTACATTATATTTAAGCGGTCTCATATGTAAGCTAGTCTCCTTAAATTGTTTGGTTTTCATTAAGACTGTCCAGAGTGGCAGTTGGGAGAGTGCTCAGTACTTCTGGAGGGTGACCTTTTTGCTGCTGTGTATAGGAACAGGGAAGCCATGCCACGATTTGCACATCACTTGGGTAGTGGATAGTCATATGCTTTGAACTGAGAGACGATATTCATTGAACTTCCTATTTCTTCAAGATAACAACCAGAATAACCTCTGTCTTAAACTTAAGCCATTATCTCACTGTCTCAAATACTAATTTTGGAGGAGGAGGAGGAGGAGGAGGAGGAAGAGAGGTGCAGCTGAGGGTCATAAGGCTCTGGATGACGAAATACCCTCATCTTCTCATGTTTCTCTCCAGCAGCTTGACAGATCAGGAAGACGGAGGTGACATAACTGAGCCCAGCAGGATCCCGGCCAAAGGAACCTGCCCCCTTTTCAAACCTTTGAATAGTTTCGTTCTTGCCAGCTCCCACAGATGTTGAACAGCATTCCGCAGACAAACCAGAAAAAGCTGCTGCAGGAGCTATCGGCATTAACTAGATTTATTTGATCTCCATTTCGAGCACTTTTTTTCTTGGGGACCTTAAAAAACAAGGGATTGTTTCCTGTTTGAAATTTCAGAATTGGAGATGACACTTACAGACTGCATGTTTATATCATAAAAGACATCCATGCCACATAAAGAACATCTGTATAAAAGAAAATTAATATTTTAGGTTTCTTACTTGTTTTGGTTGCTAGATTTTGCTTCCAGAGCACAAATTTGTCCTCCGATATGGACTACTGTATTTTTTAATTCAAATCTATTATTTTTGCTGAATCCAAAGTCCCATCCACACAGTGTCAGTTTTGTCCCACCTTCTAAGGGAGCACTGCTCGGAAGAATCTGTTAAAAAAATATTGTGTTAGTTACATCAGGTTTTCTTGAACTTCAAATAAAGAATGTGCAAAGGAATAATTTTAGAAAAGCATTTCTTTTGGTAGACTATGTCCTACCATTCATCTTAATTGTTCTTCATCTTTCATTTGTCACATTATGAGCTTTCTCTGACAGTAGCAATAAATAACAAAACCTATACTAGAAGGCTTTGAAGGATAGTGTTTAGGGGCACTGAACAAGCTGTGCATTGTAATAGTCTTTTAAATCCTGCCGTTCTTGTCTTTCACATCTTATTTCTGGCATGTTAAACATACAATGTACTTATTTTGTTAGAAGCTGAATGCTGAACACAAAAGAGCCCCAAAATGACCATTTTTTGTCAGCTTGATGAAAGTCAGGTTCAGAGTGAAGTAGCTTCAAAGACACCAAAATCCGATACTGTGTTGGCTATGATAAAGTTAACGTGACTTCTGCTATTCTTTCCTTAAATCTTTTACATTTGGTCACCTCTAATTCCGAGTTAAAAATAAACTACACCTCAGAAACACAGAGACAATCTACAAAGGAAATGCTTTTTTTCTGTATATTGTAAATTGTCCTGTAAAATATAACAATGGTGGGAAAAACGTAGGAACACTATAGAAGTCTTACAAAACTCAGTAAAAGTAATGGTCAGTACTGCCAGTAAAAAAAAAAAAAAGTCAAAAAGATATTAGTTCAGGGTTTATGAGGACTTTTAACAATACTGCATAATTTTGCAAACATATCAGTACCACTGGACAAACAACAGAGAATGAAACACTAAATTTATACTTGCGGTCATCGTGCCTAAATGTCTTAGACTTAATGCTTTAGTGATAGTAATGTTGCCCCTAAACTGCAATACAGCTGTGCCTTTCAAAGGACTCAACTTCATTTTCAAGCTGAAAGGCAAGTGTTTGAGAGATACTTGGCTATTATTTCATCTGGAAGTCCAGTAAGACAGCACATTTCTTTTCAACTCTCTTGTAGCTATACTTCAAGACTCTCACAAATGAACTATTGTAGATAGAAAGGCAGCTGAAGAATACTTCAAAAGAATTAAACCATATATTATATACGGGGAAATTTACTGCCCCCATTAGAAACCAGACAAAAAGTCTGATCTAAAATGCACTGAAGCCAGTAGAAATCTTTCCTATTTTAATGAGCTTAAATCAGCTCTCAATACGCAAAGAAGAAGGAACCTGTGCAGGTACAGTACTTTTGCACAAATCCCATAAAAAAAGGGGTGATGATGCACAGCCCCCTGACACATAGCACTGCAGCTAAGAGCATGGAGCAGTACTGTATCCCATAGAGTCTGTGCTATTCCCAAGTTTAACTTTCCCTTATTTCTTTGTTCTTTTTTCTTCGAAATCTGGATTGACTTCAGATCCTAGTTTTCCACTCTACTTAGTATCTCAGAATAGTATCTATTTTTGGAGTAACAAAACCCTGGTAGAAACTGAAATTGCTCTGTGGGGGTACAGGATGTCTGATGGTTTTTTTTACAATAACGCACTGACACGTGGCGTTTGAGGAGTCTGAAATGTAATCCATAAGTTATCAAAATAAGGGTGTTAAAATTGGGCTTCACAAAGCCATACAGAATAAAAACCAAAGGCACTTAACAGGTTTTATGTGATCTTATCTGCCAAAAGAGACTTGTGATAGCAGCCCATGTGCTTTAATTGAGGGAAAGTGAAAGTATTTACTACATTCTGCCAGCAAGTTTAGGAGGTAAGACTTCTAAGTAGATAGCAAAAAAGAAACCAAACCTTATACTTTTTTATTTAAGTGCGTAGAAATTACCCCACAGATTTTTTATTAATTTCTTTATTTTATTCCACTTGTTCTGTACGATGAAACCACTGAAAGTCAAATGTAGTTTTGCAGACTTTTCTTGGGAGTCGACAGAAACCACTAGTGAACCTCCTGGACTTTCAACCGAGGCATAGGTAAGCTTCTTCTGTGTGCTTACATCACACAGGTAGTAAAAGAAAGTAAGCAAAACCCAAATCAGTTATAAATGCTGTAAAATTTAGGACTTGAAAGTTCTCTATAGCAAGGAAACTCCACTGATGAGATGGAGTAAGTCCTGCTGCAAGGTTGGATGTTCTGCTTCTTCCTACTGCCCTCTGAACTTTAGGTTAAGGGAGAGAAAGTTAATATTTTCTTTTTGGAAAAATTTAAAGTATTGTATTTTTCTTTTGTTTATGTTGACAGCCATTATGCTAATATCCACTCATATACTTTATAAATTGTTGGAAGAAAGTATCTATTTATTAAAGTTTTGATGGCCCATTCATTTTAATTAAGAGGGAAGAACATGTACAGGCCACATGTGAAATTTCCAGCAAAACCTCCAACCTAAACAGGCAGCAGAAGGCCTGATGTTCTTGATATGTCTGAGACAAAAGCCAGCTAAAATGACCCACTTTAAAAACAACAACAAACCATGTCAGATTTTTAACCACAACAAAGTATCAAAAGGGAGACCAATTTATTTCTTCTTTCATGCCGTTCACCTTTCAGCGCGACCTGAACGCCGCACGCAGATGCCTGCAATTTGTTCCAGCACCAAATGATCTCCAAGGAACTTCCTCCGAGTCTCCCCACCTTCCTCTAGCACCGCCTGTCTGGGCTGACAAAACATGCCTTGTTGCTGGCAGAGGTGGTGGATGGGAGTTGGGTATGGTGCCGAGGTGCCAGGTGGGAGCTGGGCTTTGGTGGGGACATGTCCTGGCACCAGCCCTGCTGCGCTGCCTGTAGCAGGGGGGATGCCCGGGCAGAGCTGGAGCTCTGCGCTCCCCGCAGGTCTGGGGCATGGGGCTGCTCCCCACCACCCACAGCTCCAATGAAAAGTGCTTAAAGCAGGGCAGAGAGATGAAGGATCTGCAGGACTCCACAGGAAAATGCTGGGTTTCTTCTCTGCCATCCCTCATGAGGTGAAAATCTCTTTTTTTTTTTTCCCCATTGGGCACCACTCTGTGTAATAACCTGGGAAAACTTTGTTGGAGACTTAGCTAATGTCTGTTGAACCCGATCCTCGGAGAAGCTCTGTGTTCCCCTCAGGTTAAAGCGATCGCATGACATATCTCAAGCAATCTGTCTCTCTGAAAGCTGCAAAATATTAGGGGGAGGTTCAGACTGAATTTCAGATACTACGCAAAGCAGGTCATCCTCTGTTTGTTAGGAACAAAACAAGCTTGTTTCTCATATTTTATGCATATGGGTTTAAAGACAGATCAGAAGATGATGAATAATCTGTTTTATATTTTTTTCAGTAATAATGTTAAATGTCATGGTCCAGTAGAGCATGAAATCTGTCTTAACAGCTAGCTTTCCAAAGGGATTTAAGTACTCAGCTGCATTTTTTTCCTTACAAGCCTTCTAGAAGCAACTTCTACCAACATGCGCATGCTGTAATTCGAGATTCACTTTAAGATCCATCGGTGCCACAGATCCATATTCATTACAGAGGTAGACTGGGTTTGTGCTGATCAGGCAGGCCTGCACCACATGGGGAACGGGAGCACCCAGCCAGCCCCACGCCTGCTCCCACTGCCCCACATCCAAGAACTGCTCCCCTGGATGAGTCCTCCCTGGGACTTCACGGGGACTGCAGAGGTGGCCTTGGGGATGCACCTCTCAGTTTAAGCATCTCTGCATGGGCTTCGGGCGCTTGGTTCTTAAAACTGCTGAGCATACACCTTCATAATTGAAATTAAAGAGGGCTATATGAGCTCAGCACCTCTGAAAATCAGAAACTAAGCAGTTCAGAGCCTTAGAAATCTTTTTGGAGGCATGGGAATATACAGCAACTGCTGCAAAGCGTTGCCAAGAAAAAAACATTAAGGGATGCTACTTGTGCTTGAGTTCTAGGAAAGACTAAACAAGCTGTGCAGGATAGGTGTGAGTAGCTTGGTCCTGCAGAGGTACATAAAAATGTATCAGGACTAGTTCTCAGTGTATCCCTTTGAAGTGGTGATTTGTAGTCTCATACTAATTAAGGCCAGAAAGGACTATTTGATCATCTAATACAGCCTTTTTGAAATAAATGTGTTCTTGTATAAAGAGAAAGTAAACTATTCATATTCTGCACTAGGAATGTTTTTACATCTCCTTTGACCAAAGGTAAATGGCAATAGAAGGCAAGGCAAACACCCCCCACTGCACACACACCTTTCCATCCATTTTGGATTTGATTCCTATAATGCTTCATTGTTTGTTCATTGCATTTTGCTTGTGTTAATCCTAAATTTTGTATCCGAAAGGTGAATGCGGAAAAGAAAAATAACCCTGTAAACACGTGTTTCTAGATTACATCTAGATTATTAGCAGTTTTGCCTACCTACTCTTTAAAAAGTTGTTGTACGTGACATCATCTGCCTGGTTGAAAGAAATACATTATTTATTTAAAAACCCCTTTTGTCTCCCTTTCTCTCTGAGAGTTTAGCATGTCAAATTTTCATCCCCGTTTATAAGCTGTATGCCCACAAAGGGAAAGATATTTTTAACTACACGGTGTAGTTTAAATGCACTAACAAAAGTAAATGGGTATAAGTGCTACCAGAAAGTTTTCTGCTTGTCTTTCCTTCAGTTTTCTGGTCCGTTAACTGCCCTATAAACCTCTGCCTTCACAGCTATGTCACACTTCACATGGGATGATTCAGTTACACATACAACTGGCCAGTACGACTCCTGCGTTAACCATAGCTAAATTAAAACAGGACCGTGCCGGTGCGGCTCTCTGCTCGTCCGTGCAGTTTTGTTCCCGCACACCCTTTATGGGCCTTGGTCTGCTGGCAGCACCCTCCGGCTGTCCCTGTCCCAGGGAGGGGTGCAGCTACAGCCTCACCCCCTCCGTGATGAGTGGATCAACAGGAACAAGGAGCCAGGAAACGAACGTTAGGAAAAAACCAACTCCCTCAGGGTGGTGTTTTGGTTGACAGCTGTGTGGCAGAGCTTAGGTAGAGGAGATGGGG